AATATATAAAGCAAAGTTTTGGCATTGCCTTTGCAGGGGTAATGCTCAGGGGTGGAATATGAAAGTATGATGTAAATCTTATATGTTGGGGGTGGAGGAAGATGGAAAAAGGGCCCTGCTGCCTGATTTAACAAGTCATGTTCTCATATAATTAATATTTTCATCCCTTTCTCAGTCAAACCCTTAATCTTTCTGATCGCTAATAATACTTTTCTGCCTGGTTTGTAAACAAACTAAAGAAAACCACGGCCTTTCTCCAGGTCTTCCCTCTCTTCCTGCTCTTGAACATCAGTATAGAACCCAGAAGAATAAAACCAAGCAGGCCTTTCAATTCAGAAACGGAAACTCCAAAGATGGAGCTGCCCCAATGCTAACAAAACCCCTGCCCGCTTCTGCCTGTGTATCATAACCTGAAAAAAGGAGTAAATAATATAGACCTACCTTGCCAAAAGGAATTATTCGGCCTGCCTCACAAGTCTTCTGAGGGTAACTGGGAAATTAAAACATGGAAACACTTTACTTCTGTAGAAATGCTAAAGATTACTAAAACTCAGGAAAATACAGTGTCGATTATGATGATATACAAATGTACCATCACAGCAGCACCTTCTTGGTGCCGCCCCGTGCGCTCACCTCAAGAGTCATCACCAACACCCACAGGCACCCACGCTCGGTTTAGACCCCCACACCTGGCGGGGCTCCGGTACCCCAGCAGCACCTCAGCCTGCCCAGACCCCCAACAGCCCCCGGCCCCACTACCCCCCAAACCCAGGAAAACGCTCTCAGCACCTTTCCACCCACAACTGAGGGGATACCGTCAAGCTGCTCAGCGTCGAACCCCTGCCAAGCCAACGGGGCCGCTGCCTTCCCACAGTCACCCGGCCGGGGGCTCTCCTTTGGACCCCTGTGTGTGGTGTGTCCCCCCTCACACACACACACCGCCCCGACCGCCTGTCCCTCCTCCGCTCCCTCAGCGCTGAGGTCTGCCCCTGAGGGAGCGCCCGCCTTCTGCTCTGCGCGGGAAACCACCCCGCTGCCACCCCCGGGACCCCCGCGCAGCTCTCCCGGGGAAGGGCTCGGGGGCCCGACCTGCGCCCACCCCCCAAAAGCGAGGGCCTCGAAGCACCGCTCCCTTCCGCAACCCGCAGGCGGGACTCGGCCCCCCCGCCCGCCGCGGAGAGGGGGGGACGGGGGCGGCGCCGCCGCCATCACGTTGCGGCGCCATGACGGGAGCCCGCCCTGTCCCGCCCCGGCGGCACATCAGCCCCGATCCCGATCCCGGCCGCCTCCCGCCGCCGCCAGGGAGGCGGCACTCGGGACAACGTTGCATGGAAGGGAGCTCCGGCCGGGAGCCCCGTGTTGGATGCGAACCCCCCCCCCGTGGTACGCTGGCGGCCGCCGCGGGTGTAAAAGCGAGAGGCGAGGCGATGCGGGCGGCCGGGGGCACTCGGCTGCGCTGCCAGGGCAGCCAGCGCCGGGGGGAGGCAGAAAAGAGAGGATTTAAAAGGCAGAGATAAGGGCCGTGGCTCGGTCTGCACCCCGAAGGGACCGGGAGAGCTCTTTTTCAGCTCCAGTTTCGAAAAAGAGCGAGTTAAAGGTACCTGAGCACCTGCCGCTGGCGAAGCAGTGTGTCTGAAAACAAGATTCATAGCTAGCAACTTTCAGTATCAAAATTGTTTAGGAAAATGGATCTTCACCGAAAGAATGAAAATGAAATATCCCCAGCAATAATTCCCTGGCTTGTTATCATCTGTTATTTTAACTCATGCATATATAGGAAATTTGGAAACGTGAGGTAGCGTTCCTCTGATGCTCTGAAAGTTTGACGCAAGGAGCAAGCGCTGAACTGCCTGTGAAAGCTTCTGTTTCTTTTCAGCTCATTCAAGCTAGCGCAGAACTGGAGAGAAGACAGGAGTGGCCGCTGCCGGTGCAGAGCTCCAGCCGTCAGCGTTGTCCTGCCTTGGCTCAGTAAGGATGTGTGTATAGGTATGAGGTTGACAGAATGGGGTCCACAGCTTGTCTTAGGTGGCACAGAAATCACGGAATAAGAAAGAAATGACCCTGCCGATAATGTTTTTGCATTTCAGAAACATTTTGGTCTCGTTTTACGGGTGTTTTAATACACCCACGCAACTCAGACTGAGCTGTGGGAATAGTGACGGTGCAGCTTTGGAGCCAAGACCTGGAAAGAGTCCTGAAAAAAGCGAGGAGTCACGTCCTGGTTCTGCTGCGGCAAACTTGCGCTGACTTCTGTAGGGCCAGGATTTCACCCTGGATGTGACCGTGAACAATGGAAATGACAACAGGCAGTATATACACACGATAGGTACACAAGTTCAGAAGAGTTAGCAGTGTTTGTGATTCATGACATAACTAAGCACATTAGGAGAAAACTTTCCACAGGGAAAGGTTATTCCGTAATTATCCTCTCTGCAGGCTTTTTCTCTTCCTTTGAAACACCTGGAAGTAGACAGTCTTAAAGACAAGGCACAGGATTCACAGGCTGCACTGGAATAGCCATACTTAACAGAGCAAGGCAGAGTTTTTTCTACTTCATTCCTATGTGATATTAAAATATGCTATTAGGAAAGGCCATAATGGTTTCATAAATACCTTCTTTCTTCCTAACACTGATTCGCTGGTATCACACAGTTCCTAATACGTATGAGGAAAGTTTCTAACACAGAGAAATATTCCTGCAAAGCACTGTTTGCCCTTTCCTTAGACCTTTTGCTTTTTCCTGAGACCTGATTGCCTTTGAATGAACTCATTTTAAGCTGCCGAGGGCTTGGCATCAGATGAAGAAGCGGCAGAGGTGTGATTGTTATTAGCTATAGTGACAGCTGGCACTGCTGAGTATCCCAAAGGCTGAGGGCAAGGCTGCACACAACCCCGGGAAAAGTTTTGTGTGAAGTTTGGGGATTCTGGATGCCACCTAGAGGATTATCCTTGTTGTTGTGCTCTCGGTTGCTTTTCCCCAGGAAAAGCGCTTTTCCACCTTTCATAGGCCCTACAGGGAGTGAGGAATATCTGGTGGGCACCCGCCAGTTTTGCTCCTGTTGGCAGCCGAGTGCTGAAGGCTGGTTACACCCAACGAGCTGGTGTAACCACACGGCACAGTGCGGTGCCACCAGTGGGACCTGGCTGGGGCCCAGCAGGTTCTGGAGTCCCATTGGACCTAATGATCAGCCCCAGATGGTGTCCCAGACAGAACAGGGATACTCTGTTTCCCATCCTGGAGCTCCATGGGAGACATCAGCCTCCAGAGAACCACACGCAACGTTTGGAAATCAAGCCATGCGCCAGAAGGGCAACCCAGACCTGGCACTCACTGGTTTAATTTCCTGTGGCTGTGGGCCATGCGTTTGGAGGAGGGTGGTTCAGAGCCACTAAGGGCAGGGAATAAGATTTATAAATGGATGCAGGAGCCAGTCCACCTCTTTGGACCTCAGCTGCTCAGGTGTGTTATCAGCTGCAGAACGGACACTCAGCTTCCCCCTAGGAGGAGGTAGCCGCATCCCTCAGTATCTGAGTTTTCTGCAGCAGACTTAGGTGCAGAACCATCTAAGTGCCAACACCACCCAGTTGCTGACAAGCTCTTGATACCGGAGCCACCAAGTGACATTGTCAGAGTAGGCACTTGGGGTGTGATTGCGAGGGGATGCTCAGAGTTCACGTGGATTAGATACAACCCTGCAAAGATAATACGGGGGAGGTGGTGATTATACTAGTTGCATCTGGGTTTGTGTGTGCTGCAGCTGAAGCGCTCTTTGAGATGTTGGAGACAAGCCTGAAGTTTGAGGTTCTGCAGGAGCTCTGCTGCTCTGACTGTCGGCATGGTCTGTAGACAAATCACCAGTTGACCTCTCTTAGCTCTGTCCCCAAACTCTTTATGCCTTTCAGAATACAGTAGCGCCACAAATCCAAAATTTGGCTGTTTGCTAATGTTTCTCTGAGGTTTCTTTTTAGCCTGTCCGCTGCTATGCATCACAGCTTGTGAGAGGGGCTGAGTTTTGTGGATCCAGAGAGAGAAAGAATTGAATGACTTTTAAGATCTATATTCAAGATCTTCCAGAAATTAAACACCTGGTGCAGAAATTAGTGGGTGAATGTATTTGGTATGTTTATGCCCTTCTGGCCTATGAAATATGCAAAATGCCCAATTTCTCTTCTCAGTCTTGCCGTGTGCCCACCTTACCTGCCAGACAAGGGTGCAAACCCCATCTCTTCTGTCCCCATGGCAGCCTACCAAATGGGAAATCCACCTACTGGTGCTTGTGTGGGATTTGCCATTGTAGGAAAGACAGCATTTTTATCTGTGACTGGGACCATTTCTCAGGCAATTGCTTCAAGAAAAGGGAATGAAAATGTCAGGCAAGAAACAGGTGATTGCTCTGATCATCTTTAGCTTCCAACTTGGCTGACACTGCAAAACAAATGGTGGTAAGAGTAGTCAGGAAAGAGATACCACCTCCACTGTAAAGTTAAAGATGTCTTCTGTACTTTACTGATTGCCATCAGCCTTCGTTGTCCTGGAAGTCTTCCTTTTCAGGCCTTTTCCCTTGTTTAAGGTGATATTCATGGTCGGTTTCCCCAGGTAGCACTTCTGTGCATTCTGGCTTTTGCTGCACTACCTCAAGGGACGTTGTCCACTTCCTCGTGTGTCTCTGTCCCCTGAGGGCAAGGCCTCCCTCAGTGTACACTGAAATAAGGGTGCACAAAAGAGGTGAGGGCTTTTCACCCCTCCCCATCCTTCTATAGACACATCCTATAGATGGGAATTCTCACTCTGGACTGCAGATTGGGATAAATTTCTTTCAAAATAAGCCAAGATTTCCTGCGGCAGGATCAAAAGTATCTAGGTTTACTGCCACTCTCCCCTTAAAGAGTATGCAGTGCCCACTAAACTGAGTGTGCAAAGGGTGGCTGGTGGTCTTTCTGTCCTTGGCAGGGAGTTACTGCTGTATACGCTCGCCGGAGAGCAGCACTGGCAAGAAAAGATGGAGCGGAGACCAGGGAAGACAACCCATGCCCGCAGGAACCTCTTTGGCCCCGTAGACCACGAGCAGCTGCGGCGGGACTTCCAGCACATGCTGCGCGACAGCGGCAAGGGGGCCCAACAGAAATGGAACTTCGATTTCCTCCGGAAAAAGGAGGGGCTGACGGAGGGGCTCCTGCAGTGGGAAGAGCTCGAAGGCCACGATGTGCCCACCTTCTACCACAGCTGCGTGGTGGGAGATGCTCGGAGACCACTGCAGCCCTTGAACCAGCCCCTGGGCAGCGGGGACAAGAGTCACCATTTTGCCCAGGTCGCGCTGACTGAGAAACCCAAAACTTCCAAGAAAACAGGGGGCAAGAGGATCTCGGAAGGGAAGAGAAGAAGACAGACATCTTTGACAGGTGTGTGAGACCCCGGTGTGGCTCGGATGATCAAACCTGGTCCCAGCAGCTGCATAGAAATTCTTTGACAGGCCCATAAGCCAGTGTTGCTTTAAGAAAGCGCAACCCTTCATAAAAGCATCTGAAGGAGAAGGAAGGCACGCTCTAAACTGATGGGCATGGGGCTTGTGTTTTTCAAAGGTGCTGTGCCACAACCCCCCTCCTGGCCCTGGGGGTCTGTTTAGGACTTGTCACAGTCAGAGCAGTAAGATAATGACCGCTTCTGGTGGGACAATGATTAGGAGGGCTAGATGTTTAGAAAGGCAGTCTAAGACAGGCAGTGAGGTGATTTCTCAAGCAGGAGCCCAGCAGGAAAACAGGGTTGCCCATCGGATGGGAGGTTTTGGTTTTTTGCTCGCTTATAGGTTTGGCCGTGGGCACCCTTTCCCGAGTGCAATAGGGAGCACCATTGAGCCAGCTAAGCCTTAGGAGGAAGACCAGAAACCAGAGAAAGCAGGCAGGTCTCCTGCTAACTTCAGCTTGGATATTGTACTCAGTGAAGGCATCCAGGAACTTTACGGGCAAATCGATCTTAAACTTGGCCGGGTGGCAGAAAGGGCTAGGTTTTCAAATGCCTCTCACCAGGACTTGCTGCCAGGAGTGGGTTTCAGCATCCATAAAAGAGCTTTAGGTGTTTGAAAGTCCTCAGCACCCTGCATACTAAGGTCTTCTGAACATGTGGCCCCTTATTTTCTCTTCTCAACAGGATTTGAGCTTGTTCAAAAAATCTAATCCTATATACTAGATTTCCCTTGTCCATATTGGAGGTTTGGTTTACCCAGGACTGAGGTTTTCAAGAACCTAGGGTTTTCTTTGGGGAATTTGATGTGAGACACCAGCTTGAAATTGCCTAGAAGATAATTGAAGCTAAGGTTTCAGGAAACACTTTCTGAATAGTGATGTTGATCTCAGTTAAGTCAGACAATAGACTAATTTGCTATTTAAGAGTATGAAACTTAATTGCTAGCGAGAGGTTCAGGAAGAGGTTGGAGATTAATGAAGAGTGGAACATTGCACACTGGAGTGCAGAACAATGATATTTAATGAGTGCTCTTTTCTTCTCCAAAGCACTTTACAGCCATTAACTAATTAACAGTATAATTTACAGGTAGGAGTACAGAAGTGTAATTCAGAGCCCAATGTTGTGATGGTTTCAGGGAACTGCTGTTCAATTGTAAATCTCTCACTAGGTGTGTGGGAGTAAATTATGCAGATATTTCCAGGGGATATTTTTCTTCCGTTTTGTTTTCCCCAGGCAAGAAACATTTCATCAGGGGATGTGGAAACCAAAATACCACGGTGCACAGTTTAACACTTTCCCACATGTGTTTTCATAAGAGAAAACACTTTAGTCTAACAACAGTACCCTTCTCCCCAAGGAATCTGGGTGTGCGAGATGGGCCAGGAAAATCGTTTGCAGTCTTTTCTTTTGGTAAGGCTTGGAGATCAGTCCCTCTCTCAATCCTTCTGTTACAGGCACACACACACACAGCCTTCTGATTGCCAGCTGAAGGATGCATTAGAAGTTTCCCTCTAGCTGCAGGAACCTTGTCCCTCTGGGCATGACCGAAGTAATTCAGGCAAAACTGAGCCAGGGAAAGTCATACCTACTGATATGGTCTGACCCCATGCTTCCACCCCTTTGCTCATCTTCTGCCATCCCGTAATAAAAGGTCAGTTGATGATTAGGATCTGAGGTTGGATTTGAACCCGGTTACCTGCTTTCTGCTTTGGTCAACGAGAACACTGTAATGCTTGACGTTAAGATCCAACAATGTGTGTTTAATTTAGACTTTCAAAGACAGCTGTGGCCCATTAAATAAGTATTGATATATTAAAAACCAGCCATGGGGTTTTGTGGACATTGGCGCCTCTAGAGTGGAAAGAGCAGAGGTTTTGCTGCTGCATTTGACTCCACAGACACACAGAGAGCAAACTGGTACAAAAGTAGATTTTTCCTTCTATCTCCCAACCCTTTTATATACACGCAGTCCATCTCCATTCTCTCTTTTTCATTGTGACCCCAGTGTGGTTCTGCTTTGTTTTCTGGGAGAGCCTCAAATAAAAAAGCAGCTTAGATACAGGCTATAAGCCTTTTTCATTTTTTCCTTTTTTTTTTTTCAAGGTTGGTGAACCATGCCAGCTCTTCACTCCTCTTCTCTTCCAAACCTTTTGGCTTGCCTGAGTCTGATACACTTAGACCTTGGCTCTCCTGGGAGGCATTCATAAATCCTTGCCTCCTTTGCTAAAGATCAGAGAGAGAAAATTGGTAACAATCCTGTGTTTTCGCTAGCTGGTCCTACTTCTGAAGCAGATAGTTCATGCAAGATGACTGGGGGGAAAATGAGGAGGAAAGGAAAGCAGGTATTTAGGTAGGTATATTTAAACAACAGAAATCTTTCCCTCCCAGGTCCCTGTGGCCAGGCTTTCCTACTGACAGGCTGCAGGCAGCATCCTCCTCAGTACCTTGCTTATGCCAGTGCAAGTGCTCTTTAGGGTCCCTTAGGCAAACCAGCCAATTTCCATGGACTCTGTTTAGCATCTTAGATGGAGGCTAGACCATCTGAATTTGGCTCTGGGGCATCTGCATCCCCCTGGCTTTTAAGCACCTCTATCAATTTTGAAACTAGGCTCCATTATGTGGGCATCTGAGCAGCTGGGCTCTTGCAAAATTATTCTCAGGCAGAAATGGAAATACCCACTATTTAAGTCTTTTCTGAATTTCATCTACTAAGCATAATCCCTAATGCATTTCTTTTCCCAAAGTAAAATGAAAGATAGCTATATAGAAGTCTTTTAAATGGGAGAAATAAGTAGAAAGGATTAAATTTGGTAATGTAAGCTTTTTTTTTCTTGCTGCTATTCCTTTCCTCTCCTGCTCCACTGAGAGACTATAGTGGGTTATAGTAATAGCAGGATTTGCTTTTCTACTGAGCCGGCAGTGCATTCTCCTACCTGAGAGAATACACTCTCCTTGGGATCATGTCCTGCTCCAGAAGTTTAACTTAGGGCTAGTTCAGGTACCGCTGCGCTCCACTACACTGTGCCATGCAGATGTATCCTTAAGGAAGTTGGGTGCAGGAATCTCATTGCACAAACTTGGCTGTGAAAGCTTACAGAATTCCAGTCATCCCACCAATAATGTTCTGCATTGAAACCAGTGCAAGACTTTATGCTGCGAGGACTTGATAGTTGTTGCCAGTTTGACCCTATAGAAAGCTCAGGGTTAAATATCACGGAGCCCCCGCAACCCCAACTGAAATTGGAGCAAATTCATTGCTATGAATACAAGCAGTTTACACCAGGTAAATCCCATGGACTCTAAAGATCAATAATCATCTAGCTTCCATTTTAGCTAATTCTGCCCTGTGACCTGAAAAAAGTTTGTATTTTTTTGTGCAAGGGTGAGAAGCAGGGAAGGAACCCATAGGGAAACTCCTGTGTTGTAATCACGGTTCTGTAGTTAAGGTTGATTTATGTTTGCACCTGAAACAAAGATTCAACCACACATACGTAAGAAAATGTAATGAATGTTCTCTCCATAAGCCACAGTGCTTACTTGCTGAGCAAAGAATTAGTTATAAGTCAGTGATAGTGCAAGGTTTTATGCAGTCCTTGAATCTGCAGTTTGATCTAATAAGCAGAAATGAAATGCCCTATATATAGTTCTTCTGATGTTATTTTAAAGAGTATTTTTTGTTACTTTTAAGGAGGAAAAAAAAACCTATTTCTGTCTGGAAAGCACTGCAGCAGTGGATCTGAAAGTTGGAGTGAAATGTCACATTACTCAGCTTGCATGAGAAGGTCCAAAGTCTTTTGATCTCAACTGGATAAAAGCCAGCACATTTCCTTTGTTTTCCTTGGTATTACATAGCTTTATGTGGAACATGCTAAAGGTATTAGTTTTGTTCATTCACGAGCTGTAGAGAAGTCTAAATGACTTCTTCAACACGAAAACAAGATTTGAGGGATTTCTTGAAAAGCAGCTGTTATCAGTGTCATAGCCCAAATTCTGTTTATATGTTGTTCTCCAGATCACTACTCGGCAAAGCAGCAAGTCAAAACGAATATGCGCGCGGCTGTGAAGAAGTCAACTTCTTGAAAGCAAGGAGAGGATTGCTCTGCACCGGAGAGCTTGGAAACATCTGCCAAGCTTCCTCAACCTTCAAAAACCGGTTGTGCAGGCTGCAGACACTTAGGGGCATCCCACAGAGATGTTTTCCTGACAGGAGCAGTGAAAACAGAAAATACTTTCATTGGGATGGGGTCAGGCCAAATCAACTGGAATCACTTTGATGAGAAATAACTGGCATTAAAAACCACTGGTAAGCAAGTTTGGACACTCCAGAAATTGGCTAAGGCTAGACTGTATATGAGAAAGTGGTAAACAGTTAAAACAGCTGTATACGTGTAATAATGTGCTTGGACAAGTCACTGTACAGTTGGGGCCTTTCATATTGTCGCGTCTTTACATACCCTCTTTTTTGGTTTTAGCAGGGACGGCTTACTAAGTTTTACCATCTCAGCTTTACAGATCTGACACCCTAAAAAAAATTCCCAGCCCTTTCTGTGATTTTTTTCAGGTACAGAATTTTGTGCTTGCGACTCTTCAGGGCATAACTAACAGCACTTGGGTGCCAAACGCTGGGATGTGAATGGAGAAAGCTGAAATTATTTGGGAACATTTCCATTTATATCAGCAGCCGTTTTAGCCCTGTATGTCTGCCCCACACACAAGAATTAGGTTGTTAAACTTATATGATATGGGGAGAAATTTGCAGATATATTCTTGTATCTTTCAAGTCATTCCTGTTCCCAGCTGGGCCAAATCCAGCCTTTAATTTGGGTTGCGCTGTTGCATCTAGGTCTATGAGTCTGCATTGTGCAAATGAGGATAAAATTTGCTGTGCATTTGTCCACTGTGTTTTAAAATGCCTGCTGCTTGTAAGAACATAGTAAGAATGAGTGAGATAGTTTAGTTGCCATTTTGTGCTTTTTATTTATTCTATTAATCTTTCTGTAAGAAGAGAAAGGGTATTAGTAACACTGAAAAGTTCCACATGTAACGATCTTGGTGTTGTATGGACTGCTTTTGTATGGCATTTGTTAACATATACTCTTCCATCACCTACTTTTTATTTCCCTTTTTTATTCCCCTGACTAGTTGGGATAATTGAAATTTTACAGCACATAATAATCAGCGGGTAAACCAGAAAAAGAAACCTATAAAATATACTCTCTAAATTATACTGCTGCATATGGCCTTAAGATGCATGCAGTGTTTAATGAACTTGTTTGGAAAGAGCTCTGTAAATGTCAGGTTTTTAGAACAACATGACATGATGGACTGCTGCTTTTTGTCTCAAATGTAAACAAACTAAGGTTTCTCTCGGGTAGTAAAAATAAACGTGCTTGCGTGTGTGTGTCAGGTGTACGCACAAGAAGTGGTGTAAGCAAGTCATACACCCTGCATTACCTGCAACATCAGGAGGGTTTAGTGTGTTTCTTTTTTTCCCATTAAGGGCTACAAGTGTTTAGACATAAATAATAGTTGGTTTTCCCCAGAATGTCCCAAGACAGTGATTTCAGTCTGTTTCTGTATGCTGAGATAAAGATACTCAGCAAATTGCAGGATTGGAGCCCATTTCTAGCTACATGCAAGAGTCATGAGCTGTGATTTTCTCTCTTGGATTTTTGATTTAGTTAGGAACAAACCTTGCTCCAGCTGATGTCAAAGGGAGTTTTACCCAAATGAAGCAGGATGAGGGCCAGCCTGGCAACTGCTGCTCACAGAGCCTTCAGTATGTTTGTGGGCCAGGCCAGTCTGTTACAAGATGTAGCATAAAGTTGTGGGATTGGGCTTTTTGTATATTTGGTTTTATTTTTAAAGTTTGCTTGTGATTAGAACAGTCTAATCTATTTTTCGTTTTTTAAAGTGTGGTGATTTTCTCTAATTAAGAAAAATTGCACAACTGGTTCTCCACGTGTTTGTGATTTAAGCCTGGTTTTTAGCAGGGTTACTTGCAGAACTACTTTCTGACCGGGATGGCATGAGCTGTGCATAAAAGCCCTGAAGTTGGCCATGCATGAAGTTATCAAGAAGTAGCTGAGTCTTCTTCTTTCAAGGGAAAAAGGGATGCTTCTCTTTATTAGGAGAAATAATGACTTTCAATATACTGCTGTCCCAAAGAAACAAGAAAGGATCTTTTTTTTTTCCCCCCATATTAATTCCAAAACAGCTCAGTGCTTAAGCATACCTTTAAAAGGAAGTATCTGCCTTAAATGCTTTGTAATCAGGACACTATAATGTCCTATGAGTTCGTAAAACAATTGTTTAAATTATCATTAACACAGGTTTTAGATACCAGTGCAGATACCAGCCTTAGAGTGGAATTTTAATATGTTCAGAAAGGTGGAGACATGGTTGAACATTTGGCCTGTCCACGTTTATAGCATCTCAATTAACTGTGATTGTGACTGAGAGTTCAGGGCTGGATTAGAAAAGAGTTTGCTGCTGCCTAGACTAGGTGATAGTCTTTCTGCTTGCTGATGATGCATTTGATAATGGTTTTTGAAGTGACAGAATATTGGAGATGAGGATACGCAGTAACACAAAAGAAGGCGGCAGGAGGCATGGAAATACTGTTTTCGTACCTGTGTTTGCAATTAGAAATTCTTATACTTGTACCAGAGGGCCTAATCCTCCCTTGGTGTACGCTATATTACAGCTCCACTGATCTGTGGTGGAACTGCCTTGATTTACACTGGAGGAGAACTGAGGTTGAGATGTTTTGCACTAGTCCTTTTAGTTCCTCTACAGTACAAATGGACAGGAGGCTAGCTGTGTAAAGCCATTGCCTCCTTTCTACATAGACGGGTTTTAAAAGATAAAGGAAAATGGTTTCTGCTATAGTTTTTTGCGTGTGACAGCCAAAAATAACAGCAAACCTCTGATTAGTATCTGAGCTTCGTCATCAACTGGGTAGATGAAGTATATCTGTGTTTCATTACTATGCTGATGAAGAAACAGTGAAACATGGAGCATTTCATTATTTTGTTCAACTTGTGAATTGTTTAACACAGTATGCACAAGGGGATATGTCAGTATGTAGCAAAGCTGTAATAATAATAATTTTTAATAGTAGGTGGGTCTAAAACATTCCCATTCTTTAAATGAGGCAGCAGACCTGATGGAAAAGCTGTGGGCTGCTTCCTTCCCTGGGCTTAAACAGTGCGTTGAATGTACCGAGCCTAATCCTGTAACAAAGCTGTTGAGGGCTTATTTGCTGACCTGTGAGTTTGATAGGCTGCAGGGGTCTATGGCCATCCATCAAACCCCAAAGCGGCACTTTCTCATAACGAGAAGCAAAGGGATGTGTTCAGACTTCGGGCACTAAAGACAGGGTAGCAGCACTGGTGTAAGGTCTTGTGCGGCTGTGTGAGGATTACACAGCAGAAGGGAGACTGTAACAGGAGCCCACAGCACACTGTAACCTCAGCACGCTGATAAGCAGGTACAACTACATCTGCCTGAGCCCTCCTCCTTCCCCTTTTTTGAATATAAGCTGCATGCGTGACTCAGGGCCATATATTACTCAACAGCCACAACCTAGCTTCCGCTGATAACCACGGTGTGACCAGCATATACATTAGGGAAATCAGTAGTTCAGATTTTTTCCATCCGGGATAAATGTGTCCCATGTGCAGCACAGAACACTTGTTTTATGTTTTGTACAAACATGGAAATAATCTCTCAGGTGTGGATTATTTCATTAAATTCCTTTCAGCAGCAACTGGAGAAGGTTGTTGCACTTGGGCAAAAAAGCCAGGAAAAGAGATTCTCCACATGCTTCTAGTTATTTTCAGGGTGATGCAAGTACAGCTTTCTTCTACTTGAAGCAACTCCTCTGCAAACTATTCTGAAGTACCCTTCTGTAGGGTAGTATTGGTTTCCTGGAGAAGCTATCCACTTGCTATGGTAGACGCTTTATTATTCTACCATTATCTTTTGAATCCTTGTTAATAGGCTTTGGGGGTGGGCCTTAATGTCACAGAAATGTTTGGCTGGAAGGGAACCTAGAAAGTCGCTTACTCCATCCCCCTGCGCTAAAGCAGGATCAGGACTTGCTTATTCCGAAGCTTGCAAACTGCTGTGAGAAATGGTTTTCTCTGCTCACGTGGCAAATCGCAGGGGTAGACAAGGTCAACAACGTTCCTCCCGAGATTCAGGAGGTCTATGTTATACAAGATGTTTTCTTTCAGGTATTCGTTTTGCTTTGCTTGTTTTGTTGCAATACTGTAGACGCAGTTGAATTCCACATAAACAAGATGGTGTGTTGAAGCATTTGGTTGTGGGATGTGGATATTTGCAATGTTATCAATCAACGCTGGTGCATAAATATGTTTTAATAGCAAAAGACGTTGAATTTTCTTCTTTTTAGGCAGGTTCTTCTTGTTTTGTTTCTGTACTGCTCTGATCTGGCCTCCCTCCACTGATTCCTCTGTGCTGTTCCACTTTCTACAATTCATCACTTCCATGCACAAAATATTGGCTCAGGCTGTGGAGTACTATAAGCTAAGCTGACCTACAGCCCAGAAAATGTGTTTCTGCAGTGGATATTTCATGGTTTCCCACTGAGGTGTCACAAACCATATAGGAGGAAACTTTTTTTTTTCCTTTCTTCATTTTCTGAGATTTTTCTGCTTAGGAAATGCTGCCTCTCTTACTTTCAGCAATCTGTTCCCTTGGCAAGAAATACGACTATCAGGTGTTTAAAATTAAAGTTGTTAAAATCAAATTTGCAAAGGCAGGAGGGTTTGCCCCAGTGTCCTGGACATAGTCCAACTTTGGTAATTACGTCTCGCCTAACTAAATCCTTCTTGCAGTTTCATGGCGCTCTTCCTGTCCCGCTGAAATCTGCTACGGAGAGCTGCTGTGACATGACATGCTAAACATCTGCCATGTTTTTACCCAGAAGTGGCCATGCTTCAATAGGAGATGAAGTGATTTATAATATATGGTATGCATACACACAGATTTTTTCATTACAATGACTTCTGCTGAACTGGAGGAGTTACTTAGGAGCGGCACTTCTGAAAAAA